AAACGGCTTTTTATTTCTTTTTTAGGAACTAACGGAAAGAGTTAGAAAAAATAGTTTGAAAACTTATTCTCACAGGGAAATATAATTATTAAAGGAGGCTTACGTAAGAATGGGCTTAACTCCTCCTCCTCTCGTGAGATCCCGCAAGACAAGCAGTAGCGTGGCGTGAATGATCGATTATCGATATCTCGCTATTTGAAGCTATGGTAAAGAATCGATTACTAAGGTGTTCGCTGCGAACACCCTGATAATCGATCTTTTTTCATAGGTATGAGTGGCGTACCAATCGATTTATCGCAAATCACACCACGCCACTGACAAGCGTATAGGTCCCCCTACTCCTTGAATGGCTACGTGGCCGTCCCCAAATTACGTAACGCACGTTTTCGGCATTTTTGACCCCACACCCCCTGATAACGCTTTTGTGACGTATAGGTCCCTGTTATTTAACACGTACAAAAATGGCGTATAACGCTCTCTTCGACCCCCTCCCTCCCAGAGCGTTCCGTACCTGCGGGCCGATTATTGAAATTTAAACCAGCCCGATAAGACATCGAATCGCGATATATTGCAAGGTTAAGATAGGGCTATGTCTTGTCTTAAGCGGCGACATAGAGTCGATGACATTTCAATAATCGCCCTGCTGGCCAGCAGTGGATCAAATCAATAGAGGAGGTCGGAACAAATTTTGAAACTTTAACGTTCATACAAGACTTTGAGGTTCTAAAAATGATTCCATTGGTTTCCTTGTAAAATTTTCCTCAAACGACACCCCTCAATTTAAAATTTGACGAAATAAACATTAAAATTTGCAGTTTTAGTTGAATTTTTCATGTCCGACCTCTCTGCTTAACTCGATCCACTGTGCGGCCCCTTCCCTTACGCAGTGTTTGAACGGCCCCTAAGGCCTCCAGGCCGATTATTGAAATTGATAGACAGAGCTATAGACAAAGAAGACAAAAGGGATATGGAGGGATCCTATTGGTAGAAGCGGGCGGTTGCAATGGACAGAGGAGGTATGTAGTAGATTAACTAAAGGCAGCCCACGTGAGACCCTATAGTTAGCCCATCATTTTCTCCCTGAGTCTATAGGAACCACCCATTTCAACCAACAGGATCGTTCCGTACTTACTACGTCTCTTTTCTCTATAGCTTTGTCTATCTATTTCAATAATCAGTCCGCAGGCAAGACTTTCCCTTCTGCACGTTATAAGGCCGTCATCGTGCTTAAAGTGGGGATGATCGATAAGCATACGCGAGAGGGGAAGGGGTGCGAAGCGTGTAAGTGGAACGAATATGCAGCCCCAAGGTCTTCGCAATGACGGGGATGGACGTAGGCTCTCCACCTTTTTGATGAGTATTTTCTGAATTTGTGAGTGGACTGATATTTCATCCACCCCTCCCACATCGCCCCCTCTCCTCCCGATTCGTGGGAAATAACACACTTCGCCCGAAGTCTTCTCGTTTCATTACTAACCGAGTTTGAGCCTAATGTGGGTTTGCCGCTTCATGGCGGGCCCATTTTACCCGATGGCGGGGCGTGTTTTGCGATATATAGATTGATCTGCCATTTAAACACTGAAAAAAAAACACATTGGATCTAGAATCCAGACTCTTAAAACATCGACAGGAAAAATACTCTTGATTCAATCGGATTTTTGCTTAAATCAAGAACCAAGCCTCTTGATTTGAGCGCATTTCCTTTTGATTTAAGCAAAAATCCGATTGAATCAAGAGTATTTTTTCTTATCGATGTTTTTAAAAGTCTGGACTTTAGATCCAATGTGTTTTTTTTCCCCAGTGAACCTATGAAAAAAGCTCGATAAACAGGGTGTTCGCAGCGAGCACCTTAATAATGGATAATTTACCACAGCTCCAAATCGGGAAATATCGATACTCGATCATTTACGCAACTGATTTTACCCACTCAATTGAAGTGTACATTCGGAACGAAAGATGAACCGCTCGACAGAGTCTGAAATCGAATCGATTTCTAGTAGAGAGGTATAAGTCTTCGAAACCATATTATACTAGATGGTAAGAAATCGGATTTTCTCATGAAAAAGGATGACTAAAAGTTTTCTGGGAAAGTTTGAAGGATGAATGAACATCTGTGGAGGTGGAGGTCCTGGAATAATTTTTTTGTTGGAAAAGTTTGTAGAACTTTTTAGGCGAATTTGAAGTTTCTGACTTATGTCCTTTTTCATGAAAAAGAGGGAAAACGGAGGAACTTGTAAGTAAAATAGGTATGCTCAGAGTGAGTTCTGAAGGTTCCGTTACTCATTTTTTTTATTTAAGTAGTGCATGGAAGTATAACTTTTAGATAGAGACACAAATATTGAAAAAAACCTTCAGAAATGTAAAATCCCTTCAAAAGGTCAACATTAGAGAAAGATATTATTTTGGAGTTACGCCCTCCACCAGATATCGATCCAATTCATGGCTCTCATTCATTTATTCAACTCTAGCTGTAAAAATGTCTGGAAAGTTTTGGTTCTCTATCAGCTGATTATGATATTCTTGCACACTAAAGAAAAGTTCGGTTTCGGTCCGCTGAACCGGACAGTTCGGTTGAACAGACCGAATAATTCGGTTGTAAGTACCGACCAAACCCTGGTTCCAAACCATTCTTACTAGTTCGGATTTATTGAACTTTTTTTTAATGTACGCTAATGGTTTAAGGACAGTGTTTCCGAAATATTTTTCAACATATTTGCCGCATGGGTTATTGGGAAAGAGGTGGGTTTTTGGGAAAAGTGGCAAGGCGGTTTGCGAGTTTACATTTGCCACCTATTGACACGGTCTGGGAGTTCTTTGAAGTGGATCTGGGGCAAATGTCTATTATCCGGTGCCTAAGGCTTACCTCTTTCGTCGCCATTGATTCCGCGACTGCTTGGGCTGGCTGTTCATTTTGTCATATAAAAGTAATTGAATGACGCCGAACAAATTGAGCTCATACCGTGAGAGAGTGGCGCTCTCCAATTGTGTTTCCACATGCAACTCGAAATAAGTTGGGCTGTGTGCTCGTTTCCGGTAGGAGATTGGTTAGGAGAGGAGGCATGTGTAAGGCAAAGTGCCCATGCAGAACCTAAAATGTGGTTAGTAAGGAACTCAGTTCTCTAAATAAAAGGTTAACACTGAAAAATAGGCACATTTTCAAAATTTACAGTCCTTTAAAGTGAATCTTCCGTGTGAAATTGATAAGAATCATGTTTGGCCAGGGAAGCATGAAACTTAAGAAAGAAATGGAAAATTGGAAATTTCAGTGAAGTATTTCATGAAATTTCAAGAGGCTGTGAAATATTTTATATTTTTCAGGGGCTAGAGTATGAACCCGCACTCCACCACTCAAAAACAAAAGAAAGTCACAATTTTTACACTTTGCAAAACATGAAAAAACCGATATTTTTCAATATCTTTCATAAATTTCAGAAATTTCATGAAATATTTCACGTGAAATTTCAAGATTTTATTTCCATGAAATTTTGCCACCCTGTGTTTGGCCCCTAGGATCCTTCCCAAAATTTTGGCGTACCCCTAAATTGCCTTTGAAGTGCATAAGGGAACTATAGATATGGTCCTCCATGCCAAGTTTGAATGAAATTGAGCAAATTATAGATTTTGAGATATGACTTTAAACAGAAAAAGGGTGCGCCGGACGGATGGACACACATTTTTTCAAGTTTGGTATTTTTTTCTACTCCAAACACCTTGAACCGCATAGAAATGATAAAATTTCAACTTTTTCTTGTTTTCTTTTGGAGGGTGACAATACTTCCTCTACCGGCAAGGGAAGCGAGAAAGTAAAAATTCTAATTCACGGATGATTAAGAAGATCCGTAGCCACTAGATTACTAATTATATATGATCTCAAAAAAGTCTAGTGATTAAGTTACGTTTTGCAATCACGTGACGAGAACGGTTTGAAATCGCTGTTTTTCGGACGAAGGAAAGAATCTCCATTCCAAGGTTGCAAAATCTACTTGCACAATCATTTTTTCACACATAAATGATATCGCAATTTTTATAATCTTAAAATATGTGAAACGACGAAATCTATTGTTATATCCATTAGATTTCCTAGGGCTCAATCATGAACTGATTTCCTATAAAATAGTATTCAAGTTCGAAGCGCGATGCAAAGAGATGGGAATAACTACTTAGAACGAGCTCTAATAACATTCAACGTCATTTTCCCCCGGTGCTTTATATTGCCAGGAAAATGTCTTGGCTTTTATGGAGACCTTTTATATTGACCAAGGGTCCTTTGACGAAGGATAAACAATGAAACCAAGAATGTATCTTCGGTTGTTTGTGTCGTCGCCATATTGCGAGGGAGTTTGTCCCGGAAGTGTCATACCGCGTCGGCCGAAGACCTGAGGATGTCCTTTGATTTCGGGTTTCCACGAGCTTTGCACATAGCGACGCGGCATCAACAGAGGTGATTATCAGATCAACAATCCACGAAACTGATATTTCAAGGAAAATGGCCAAGCATGGTTGCCAAACAGATAGTAAAAAAGCCCCGCTTGAATATGAAATATGCTTTTCACCATTAAATTTGACAACTATACATCTGAGACCGCGCAAGGAGTGGGCTTCGAAACCCACTGTAAACAGATTATTACTACTTTCACTATGTTATCAAACTGTTAAAAGAAACATTTCTGAGTGAAAAATGGCAACTTAAGGCTCGAAGAATCGATTATCGGACATGGTTTCGATAGTCCTAAAACCTCCAAAGTTGTGTCATTCCAATGTCGAGGCGTGCGACCAATCGCACGTTTCGACGGTAGATTTGCGTGAGGGCATAGCATGAATCAATGTTGTTTAAACCCCTTCCATTGTAAAAACGCATCCAACACGCAACCGCTTTAACTGTTTCCCCACGAAAAAGGCACCCCTTTTTATTTGCTGAGACAAAGGGGAAATCCATTTCTTTGTAAATGACTGAACAAAAGCCTAACAGCGGCGAGAGACCCATGTCAAGGAAGGAATCGACTACGCGCTTACAAAGTTTGCTTGAAATATACACGGCTGTATTAGAGATGAACACCGTATGAGCTATTAGACGTTTAAAAATTCCCTATTGCAATGTATTGATTTTCAAAAGAAGTGTGAGAATACTTTTCTTTAATATATTTAGAGAATTTTATCCCCAATTCTATCTGAAGTATCCAAAAATTAAAGGTTTTAATTTTTTAAAATTTTGTTAAAACGGTAGGCGATGAAAGAATACGAAGGAACCGTCAGAACTTGAGGGACAAAATTATGTTAACAAAACCTAATCACGTAACAAAGCAAATCCGGGGGAAATGCGTCACAGCGTCTAACCTGTGAGGAAGCAACTATTCGAACGTGTCAGTTGTGCAAGGAAGTATCCGCTAAATGGAAGGGGACTTCCTCGGATCAGTCTACACTTAAGCGTTAATAGCGTTAATATTATGAAGTCTTCGCAGTAGCAATTATTCGAACGTTGCCGTAATGCAAGACGGTATCCATTACTTTGAATGAGTTTATAAGACGACCAATATAATATTTTTAACATCACCAATTCATAACATGACCAATACAATTTTTGCAGGGGCCGAGGACGTCAATTTTTTTTCTACTTTTTTTACGTTCTCGTTTCCGCTATTTTTACCATCATTTTATTCTGTTTCGACCAGAGTTTAAAACACCCGAATCTGGTGAATTTAATCGAAGTTTTCCGGCGGAAACGGAAGCTACATTTGGTGTTTGAGTACTGCGACCACACGGTGCTGCACGAGCTGGAAAGACAGACGCACGGCTGCCCGAAGCACCTCACGCAGAGCATCACGTGGCAGACCCTCCGCGGCGTGGCCTACTGCCATCGACACAACATCATCCACCGTGACGTCAAGCCCGAGAACATTCTTCTCACGTCAACTGGGATCGTCAAACTCTGTGATTTTGGATTCGCCAGGGTCATGAGTAAGTCACATCCATTTTTTTCTCATCATTGCACCGGTAAATGGACGTATTTCTGCCAAACGGAACTATGTGCATTGAGACATGAGCCCTGAGACCCTTAAGAATACATGCATACTAGGGCTCACATCAACATGTACATAGTTCCATTTGGCGGAAATACGTCCAAATAGACCGCGTTATAAGCAAAAAATGACTAAGCCACATCAGCTATTGCCAAATTTAATTGGGCAATTCAATTTTATACCCGAAAACGGTTTTGCGGATTATTGTGCGGATTCCAATGAATTTTCTGCATCATAGTGCGAAGCAAATTCTCTAAAGTTTTCAAAGGAATCCGCAGAAATGGACTATATTTCCAATTTGGAACTATAAATGCCGGCTCATCTGAAAAAACACATAGTGCATAGAAAAACTAACGGCACATACGTTGTTCTTAAACCGGGCCGGAATTTATATAGTTCCTAATTGCAAAATGCAGCCCAAATGTTCTCTTGTAAAAAATTAAATTGCCCAATGAAATTTGACAATATCTAATGTGGCTTTGTTCCTTTCTGATAAACGCGGTCCAAATAAGTATCTTGCAAGTTTTTGCCATAGCAAAATGAAGAGTATTCTCTTACAAAGATCGTCCTTCCTCTCACGACAGAATGTAACTCCATTCCAAAGTTGCAAAATTTACACAAATAATTGAATTTGTTACAAGGATATCTGGGCTATTTTTGTTCAAAATTTTGCCGATTTTTGTATGTGTCGGAGGAAAAATCTCTGAAATTTTCATTTGAAAAGTTTCCACAGGTTTTAAGTAAAAATAAAATGTTTCAGTGGCAATCTTGCAACTTTGAAATGCAGTTACATACTTTTTTCTCAGGAACGACGAAATGCCCCCTAAAATTGGACTCAAAAAAAGTCAGGAAAGTCTAAAACTCACTTCTAATTTCAGAATCTGTGCAAGATATAGGCGAATTTTTTAACTTCCCGCATCAAAAAATACCCCACGGCAAAAGCATTCGATTTGGTACAAATGAGTCACCCCAGTTACACAACTCCCCGCAAAATTGAAAATGGTCACCATCATGTAACACAGTACCTCAGCTGAATACAAACTACAAAGGCACTCCTACCTTTTTAATCATTAGTAAATATTTAGTTCATTACAAATAGTTAATCACTATTTACTCACGTCGAACAAAATGTCTATCACTGATTGATGAATCCAAGGTCTGAGAAATCATTCATTCAAGGTATGCTTTTACCACGGTGTATGACGTCAGTCCAAATGTTTTTCGTAGAGCAATATCTTCATCACAAATGGACGTGAAACCTTGGTATATTGTTAGATTTCGTTGCTTTTTGCTAAGCTACAGTATTATTCTTATATCAAAACATGATTCTGAAAATGGCGACGGTTCTATTAGTACGGGTTTCTTTGTACGCGGCATCGATTGTCCGAATATAAGATAAATGATATTCACTATGCTTTTTCCCTCTGACAGTACCAAAATATGACGTCCAGATACTCTCATCAATAGAAGCTCTAAGGAAATCGCGCCAGGCGACTTCTAAGCCGAGCAAGAAACTGAAAGAAATATAGTCTCCTTCAATTCAGTGATTATGCAATTTTAGGTGCTCAGGGGTTGAAATAATTGTATTACGCGCCTTACAAGCCTTATGTTTTTACGTATTGCAGATCCTGGAGAAGATTACACTGACTACGTGGCAACGAGATGGTATCGAGCACCTGAGTTGTTGGTAGGAGATACGCAGTATGGCACGCCTGTCGATGTCTGGGCGATAGGTAAATTGAATTTTCAAAATACATGATTTTTTATACATATCTTACTATTTAAAAATACTGAATTGCGCACTTTTGTAAGACATTGACCAACATGAAAAACGTACCCTTATATAAGAAAAGAGGCTCGAAGGGCGTATACTTGCATTGGAACGTTGCCGTCTTCGACTATCTTCACACTATCTCACCTCTATCTTCACACTAAAAAAAGAGATTGGTAGAATTTACCATTCCTTCACGCTGTGTGAAATACAGCGTGAAGGAATGGTAAATTCTACCAATCTTCAAGTCGATTCTGCCGGAGGAATAGTTACCTGCGCCAGTATATAGTAACGTTTACCTGTCTTCTGGCGGAATTGACTCTGAATTGACGTCTTGTGAAATGCAGTGGGAAGGAATGGAAAGTTCTACCAATCTTTTTTTTTCAGTGCGATTTCTTTACGCACTCAAGAATAACAATTTATTTTTAAATAATTTTATGTAAATTATCCCTGTGATTTTATGATGATGGACCACGAGATGAGGTAATAATTAAACCTCCAAAAGACACGTTTCTCCAAGGGGAAACTCCCCAGGGGGAGGGGGGGGGTTGTCAATCAAAGGGGAAAGAATTTCAGCGAGCGAAAATTCCTCGCAACCCCTTTTGAATTGCAATGTAAGTATTAACAACCTCTTCTGATGATATTTTTTCTAGGCTGTGTGTTTGCGGAACTTCTCAGAGGAGCCGCTTTGTGGCCAGGAAAGTCAGATGTGGACCAGCTTTATTTAATTCGTAGAACTCTAGGTAAGAAAATTTTCGCCACAGATCGCACAAAAATTTTGAGCCTCAAAAAATTCGAGCTAAAATCAACTCTAATTATAAAGAAATAAGTTATGTACTTTTTATAAAAGAAAGAAAAAAAAAACACTTTTAATTTGAGGATGTACTCATAGTAAATGGTTTACTGAGAATGTGTGAGCTAGTTTTTTAAACGACGTATTATTTTTTCCTTTGGCGTTGATTAATTTTGCTCTCTGGCCTGAAACATTTTGAATGAAGGGAGTAATCATTCATCAAGAGTGGCGGTAGCCACCCCCGGTCGAGGAAAATGACGTCCTACTAAATACAGACATACATAATGTCGGATTGAAACCGAGCGTAAATTTTCGTTTCATGGCTTATATATTCTTATGCAAAACCCATTGCTGATTTCAGGTGATCTTACTCCAAGGCATATGCACGTATTCAGGACAAACGAATTTTTCCGCGGTATCACATTGCCAACTCCAGATACTCTAGACCCTTTGGAAAATAAGATACCGACGGATGACCGATTAGTTCTAGATTTTTTACAGGTAATAATAGCTGCAAAATGTTCTCTAAATATGTATGCACTGCAGAAATGAAAATACTTTATTTGACCTCCTGAATTCCAGCCTTCAGAGTTTGCCACACAAAGGATGGTAGTTCATGATAAATGAATCATTCCTGATTTTGATTATATTGTATGGACATAATTTCACGAAAATTTACCGAGTTGCATCAAATTAGAACCAAGAAAAAAAGATTTGAATTCGGAATGTTAAGAATAAAGCTCACCTACTATTTTCACGTTCAGAATATTTTCATCTACATTAATGTTTCGACAGGAGAAAATTTACGGCTGACTAAATTCAAAATTGCCCCTAACTTATTTTCTTCAAAACGAAACTTGCTGCGTTTCTCAGTTCATAAGTAATAAGTCACTGAAGTTAATTTATTTTTAATAAACTATTTTGCCGCCAGAGAACTTTGAATTTTGTTCATTTTGAGTTTAAATCAGTGGTTGACCGCCATTAGGAAGCTGGCAAAGAGTTCACGATTAAATGTAATTGATGCTCGATTTTTTGTTGCAGAGATGTTTAGATAAAGATCCTTTACGGAGATGGTCGTGTGAGCAATTACTGCATCACCCTTACTTTGATGAGTTATTGTTTGACGCAGCGTTGATCACCGAGGAACCAATTTTAAGCTCAAGGAGAAACAGCAGGGAAAAGTCTAGGGTAAGTCTGGAATATATTATTTTAATTTATAACTCGCAAAGTAAACAGGCAGTAACCTGGCCGGATAACTTCTCCCAAGAAAATATAGGGTAAACGCGGAACTCGAATGAAATGAAAAACGACTCTAATTTTCCATCAGACAATGAAAGAAAGTAATCACTATGGCACATGTTTTTTGTCAAAACTTCTCACAGAATACTTTAAAAATGTCGGAAAGTTTCGAGACTAAATCATAAGTGGGGGAATACGATTCTTGCGTTATGAGCGGAATTGGGAAATGTTTAATGCTTCCACTGTAATCTACTTAAAATTGGGATGAGGAAACATGCATTGCGGTTCCTCATGGAGATGTTGCATGTGTGAGGAATTTGCGATTTGACTATTGATTCTTACGTAAAAGTTTGCGAGAAACACGATGGTGTCACTGGTTTTCTCTGAAATCAACTCCCAAGCTCAAAAAAAGCTCTCCAGTTGAGGCCAAAATGGAGGGGATATCCCACGCTCTCCTGAGAGTCCACCTCTACATCAAGACAAACTCTCCATACAAATATAGGGAGCAAATATATTGACACGGCTGCCACCTTATTTGGGGACTCCAAAACTGAAAACACGGCAACCCTGCTAATGTATTTGCTCCCTATCTTCGCATAGAGAGTTTGGCTTGATGTAGACGTGGACTCTCAGGGTAGGGTGGGATATCCCCTCCATTTTGGCCTCAACTTGAGAGCTTTTTTTGAGCTTGGGAGTTGATTTCAGAGAAAACCAGTGGCACCATCGTGTTTCTCGCGAACTTTTACATAAGAATCACCAGTCAAATCGCAAATTCCTCACACATGCAACATCTCCATTGGGAAATGTTTAATGCTTCCACCGTATTCTACCTAAAATTGGTATGAGGAAACATGCATTGCGGTCCCTAACTCCGCATCTTGTCTCCGGGTCCATTAAAACCTTGCTCAGCAAATTATTATCTATATTGAAATGTTGTGAATTAGTAGAAAATAATGTCCATGATCTTTTCTCATATTTTCAACTCCAAACTTCAGTCCCTCAAAATTGACGTCCTTCGACATTAAGTATGAAACTAGAGATGAGAAATGTCACAATTATGAATTATTTCACTTTTCTAGACAAAACTGGGTCCTGGTTTACCTCACCTAGCCCACAATGGACGCAGTCCAACTGCTGGCATCCACCAAGTTTCATCAGTTGCAGTTCTACCGACCATTTGACTACCGCCACTAACTCGGTTTTAACAATCCAGTCTCGAGGACGAGTTTTGTAGGTTAACGGTTTGCTGTTAAATCGCAATACTGAAAGCGTTGTCAATCAAGTTCGCGGTCTTTTGACTAAATCAAATTTCGACGAATTGAAATAAGTCGAAAATTCAGAGGCGGCTGGCGCGGTGTTTTGCAAGACGATGGTCCCTGTTTAGGTGTTGAAATGGTTTAATATCCAGTCTTTGCTGACACAAATTTACAAAATGACTTTTGAAAGTTTAAACTATTATAAACTTAGCAAGTTCGACATTTTAATAGATTAATTGGAAGTATTAAAAAAAGATGAATAGCGATGTACATTATGTTATACCTAATGATCTCACAAAAAATATGCTCGCAATTTTTAAATATCTGGAAGGTATTTAGGAAAGATGAATAGCCGTGTAAACTATGTTACATCCATTGATATCACAAAAATATGTTGTTATCAGTCGGGAAATGTGATAAAACTCCATTTCCATTTTATAATTTGCTTATTTGTTTGGATGTTAACATGTTTGCTCTTTGCATTCTGTAATGTTAATGTGTGATTGATTTCCAAACTAAGAATCTCTTTCAAGAAGCATTCCCAACAATATTTTCTACGTCTGATAAGTTTGTATTAGTGTTGTGAATGTAAACTGACCAAATATATCTAAACTAGAGTACTCACTGACAACGTTATAAGACGATTCAAATGGCCTAAGCCAGTATAACTACCTGAGCTCGTTTGGCGAGAAACATATTTTCACACATTATGAATGGTAGGAAACACCTTGTGGACGCGTAAACCCTAAATTTATGTTCATTTTGTTAACAATTTAACGCTTAATAAACTTCACTCATGGTTTAAATTTATCGCCTCCTCATAGGCCTTGACTCAGTGAACGAGACGTTTCTTACATTCAATTCTCTAACGTTTCCTATCCAAAGCTAAATTAATCTAACCTGGCCACCGTTAGATTCAAAATAAGGGGACGTAATTTGACGTAAGCATTTAAATATTACATAGGCATGTTATGTTAATTGTATATGTGCGCTTTTTTATTGATTCTTTTTTAAACATGTAAAATGTAAATAAGTTGTGTATCTATAATAAAATATTTTTTTAAGAGTTACTAATATGTTTTTAAAGTTCATTTCTGATGATTTCATCCTTGATCAGGGGAGTTTCAATGATGATTTTTAGAATTGATATCCTGATGGGTTTGGAGGAGATATCTCCAGATTAATCTTACAAAATGAACTCTCAATATTTGAACAAATCGCGGGTTTTATCAGTCATCAAATGGTTACAAGAATATATATTACGAGGGTTAAAGAGGATCAAAAATAGGCTAAAAAAAGGCATATGGTCACTGGTCACGCATGACTTAAATGCCTTGAAAGAATATACATAGTTCCTGGGATCACAGCCTTTGTCTGGGCGTATTTAAATCAAAAGGAACTATCTCTTTTGCAACATGGACCCGGAGTCCCCCAAAAATAGATGCACTTCAGGGCCTGCGTCACAATAAGGATACATCCTTTTAATTTATTAGCGGAAACATGCATCTCAAAGGAAACGATGTTTAGGAGTAGAATCAACAATAATAATGATGTCGTTTGAGGAAGTACAAATTTCAAAAACAACTTTAAATGAAATAATTCAGTATCAATGTGCTTAAGGTAAGTTTTGGGTTTTTCTCGAGGAAGAAACAACGGTATTACGTTATATCAGAGACAAAAAACTATGTGGACACGAATGGTTCCACGTGGCTAGGAGCATATCTAATAGAGTGAGACCTGCTCAGGATTTAATTTAGAGCTTCGTGGTATTCCTAGAAGTGGTTCAACAAAATTGAACTGACATTCCGGTGAGGAAAATTGTGTCACGGAAGCTATCGACGGTGAAACTACCAAACCACGTATCTCGGTTTGCGACGTCGCAGACTTCCTGTCATACTTTATTTTTTAAATGAAAAGCTACTTAACGTCCAGTCTTGAAAATTTCCGTGATTTTTCCTCTTCGTGCGGAGAAAATTCTGTGAAAATTTCAAGGAATGTTATTGATTTGGTCTACTTCAAAAAAATAAAATGTGAGCGGAGATTTTTAAACACCGCAAACGAGATACGTGGTTTGGTAGTTTCACCGTCGCTATGTGGCATTTACAATGATGTTTGGGCTGTCTGCGAAAATGCCTGCTCGTCCGAAATGTTTGGGTTGCATATGCCAAAAATAGAAGGAGCTTCGTCGTCCTATCTTATACATACACGGCAGGGGCAAGGCGTGAATAATCGATTATCGATATTTTCTCATTCGAAGCTATGGTAAAGAATCGAATATTAAGGTGTTCGTTGCGAACACCCTGTTTATCGATACTTTTCCATAGGTTTAAATGGCAGATCAATCGATGTATCGCAAAGCACTCAACGCCACTGGTATACGGCAAAAATCCCACGACTTACAAGTGCTGTGGAATGCTATACTAATATTTTTATCATTTAATTTTTCGGAAAACGCAAAGATATTTTAAATGAGACACCATTCATCCACATCAGACTGAATCAGAAATTTCATAAGTTTCAGCTGAAGTAATTTTCTTCGGCATTTCTAGTAGATATACATCTCAGAAAACCAAGATCTTCGACATTTATGTTTGAATTTAGTGGATCGGCATTTTAACTAATTTCAGGGAGGGAGCATCATCATTGATATCCCCAAAAACTCTTAATATTTAGGTAAAAGAAATTACTGTCAATCCCAGAATTTTAATTTTGTAAAACATTCAGTTTGAATTTCTTGTTTTTTAATTTTATTTACATTCTGATTATCTTTGATTATCTCTGATTATCTTCTCGTGAATATTGAAGTGCGTTATCAAAGTGCGTTTTTAGTAAATCCAAATTTAAAAATATTATCCTGCGAATGTATAACATCAGAATTTCCTGCAACTAGCACTAAACTACACAGTGTATTCAGGGTCCCACATCCCGAATGATAAAAGGGCTAAAATAGAGCTGGTATAATTATAAAATTACGCAATTCAATATTGCATGTGCAACTGAATATGGAATGGAAAGGTGACTGTTAAAAATCAAAAACACCATCATCAACATAAAAATATTTGCTACAATTTATTATTGAATATTCATCTAAAAAAATGAATCAATCACTAGGTTAAGCGGGAACATAAACTAGATACTCGAATCTGAAATTATTTTTCGCTTTAGAAGCATATGACTCTAAATCAACAACAAAGGTCATACATTGACTATCGGTAAGTACACAGATTTTGTTTGAAAATTTTGTCAGGTCATCGGCCTTTTCGAGGAACCTTTTCCTTTATTTTTAAATATCGTCTTTAATGAGGCCTTTTTTCCGATGGTAGGTGGCATGAAACAAAACAAATGCTCATTGTAACTCTTATTATTATCATTCATCTAATCCCTGCCACCAGCGTTTATTCCTCTTTTCATTAAAAATAATACATACAAAGTATCACCAAGAAAGGTTACACGAAAAAGGCTTTCTAAAACGAGTGCAAAGGTCATGAGTATAATTATAGTGCAATGTTGACAAGTCGTGTGTTAAATGCCTGTTAAGGCATATTTAGATTGAGGAACTAGAAAAGCACGGATCTTCATATTCTTAAGAAGAGATTTAAGGTATCAGAGGCAGTTTCTCAATGCAAAAGTGACTTTTGTCGATTGCGTTGAATTCAAAAAGTAGAACTAGGATGTTCTTAAGCTGTACATATTTTGCAAATTTCACTACACTTCTTACCGACGAAACCATAAACCCTCGACGATGAAATAACCACATTCATGTTTTTTTCTTGTTTCATCACATTACGTATCTAAAAGTTTATTCCGCAAGTTCAATGATGCGATCGTTACTATGTTCGGATGGGGTCTTTGAGAAACCTGCTTTATTAAATGGAAAAAATTGCCAAAGAATTTATTCAAACAAACTGGTTGATTTCAGTGAGAAAGAGTAGAAAACGAGCGATACCTTTCAGACATCGCAAGACATTGCTTTTCTAGTTTTACAACATATTTACAACCCTTACACAATTGCACTCTATATTCATAGGCTACATGTTTCTATTCATGATAATTTTACTGAAGGGTTTCAAAACTTGATCACCAGATAGTCTAACAGTTAAAATTAAGAAAGCGCTATTTCCGTTTTTTGTGTGTAAAATTACATAATCTCATTACATAAACTAACTCGCATAGAGGTAACTAGAAATTCTAGACCACGGTCAATTTCATTCGTTCTGGTGGTCTTTATTTACGTAAAGAAAAAGAATATTAAGACTACTATATTGTTTGGAGTCTAGTTGAAGATTTTGGACCAAAAATAAACCAATGAGCTACGATTATATCGTGCTGTCACGGCTAAATTTCCTACAAGTACGCAAAGGGTAACATTAACATCCATCATGTAAATTTAGCTAATTTTGGTAACTTCGTCAAAAATCACAAGATAAAATGCACAAAATAATCACATCTATACTGATATGTATTTTTGAAACTTTCTAAATTTAGATCAATTTTTTTCATTCTCATTCAATACAATCACAATTATATTTCTCTCGCACCCTGCTCTATCTCCTTCATCTAATTTTAAAACAGATTTCTATGAGAACAAGTGGAGTATGGTTGACTTGACGTAGGTCAGTCATTTCATTGGCACCTAGAACTTTTCCATATTCAACAAAATAATAAACTCTTTCATTTCCAACAACGATTAAAATACATTTTCCCTAATTAATACTCTATAGACTTTATTTATTCGCGTAACATAAAAATAGACAATTGAAACAAAAATCGTTTCTCTCTCATTTTTCATAACCAAGGGCCGTTTCCTAAAATACATAACGCTCTGGAGGGAGGAGATCTGAACCTGTGTTACAGGTGTGGTATGGAAAGCTGAGGGTTGCATTATGCAACGCTGAAATAGGTGCGTTCAAAGAAGAGGATGGGAGTAAAGACATCCTATTTAAAGCGTTACCAATGTATTTAATGAATATGAACGGCCCCTCAATACATTAGAACATACATTACAACAACTGTTCCCGTCTTCTAAATATCTTAATCATGGCCCACGATTCATAATTGCTGTAAACTTAAACGATCAGCTGCAATTTCATAAGTGCCTACAATCAAAATACTACAATAAGTTGTAATTTATAACGTTCAGATCCGTCATATGTGACTGCAGCTGGCTTCTGTCACGTGGCGAGCCGTTTTATAAATTCTGTAAAATTTTTATACTAGAATTTTAGAGGGCATATCTTAAGAAAAAGAAGAAACAAGAACGGTAACTTTCGAGACAATAGAATAGAACAGGTAAAGAAAAATACTATTTTTCCCTCGGAATATTTCCGGGTATAATTTGACTAGAAACAACAGCTGGAAAAATACATATTGTCCAGATATATTGATAGCCAAGCTGCTTACTTGGGATCATTAATAACAAGATACGATACAAAATATGTGTCAGATAAATTTTTAAATAAATATTCGCGTTAAAGTTTCTCAGTTTTTAAATTCATTCATGAAGCAAATGAGAATTAATAATAAATAAAAATACGGACGCCAAAAAACAGAAAAAAAGTGTAGAGAATTTGGATAGCAGAACCAAATGACTTTTTATCGTCATTATCATACCAATAAATATCTAGAAACACAACAAAAATAAAATGTAAAGAATTCAAATAAACTATACCAGCCTAATTCAGGAGTAGCTACGTGACTAAAAAGAAACAAGCTAACTTAAAGTAAAACAATGAAAATCACAGACAAGTAAAGTAAACTTCCTAATAAGGGGAAATTTGCACAAAATATGCTTCTATTCAGAGGCGTGACATAGCTAAGTCCTAAATCCAAAAATTTGTGTATTTTCCAAAATGGCAGGTTTTAATAGCCTTAGGTATAATAAACGATTAAAAACATCGATAAACAATGAAATTGGAGACGAAGGTTTGTGTTTGACCGACGAATATTTTTTCATTCAACATTCACGGTGATCAAAATAATCTGACATTTCGTTTCAGGGGCATTGAGTGAATTAAAGATCTTATTCTTTAATTAAATCCACGACATGTTTTAATATTTAATGAATTATAACATTTATCAAAACTCAACGGAAAATTTCAGAGTCGTGTTTTGGTAATTTAACAAATAAACCCATTGGTTTTACTAGACTTTCCTTAAATTGTCGAGGTGAATAGACAACTGACTGAAAACAAAAACAAGAGTCTGAATCAGATTTGTGATTTTTTTAAGGGTTAGATGTTGCTCACATATTGTCCGCATGGCATCTCCACCTTAAACCCTGGCCATTATTTTTTTAAAACTCGGGAGAAGTTATAAATTAAGATTGGCGTGTGTTAAGGAGTTGCTGTATAAGAAGGAGGGATTCCTGAAGGGCATTGGCAAAATGAGAAGAATCAGTTATCTGTGAAGAGCGGAATGCAGACAGGCAGAACACTATCGAGTCCGAGCGAGGGTTGTATGATGCGCCATAGCCATCTGGCACCACTGGTCCGTAACCCATGAAAGTATCCGTTCTTGTCGCAATCTGAAATTTAAAATTTTTTTAAATATTTATATTTTCTTGATTGTGATAAGAGCCAAATTTGAATGTGTCAGCGAGTTCGAGTCATTCCACAATTATAGGCGCTGATTTCATGTTATTTTTTGACGTCTCATATTTTTACTATACCTAGTCCTTATGTGCTATGCCTCGGCAAAAAAAACGCCGTATATACTCTTGAACTGGATTTTGAGTATAGGTTACAACCGTTGCCGAAACTGTATAGACCTTTGAAACTCTAGCATTCGCACCGACCCAAACTCTAGGTAATGTTGATTTTCCGCTATTTTAAGTTCACCCACTACAAACCGTTTTTGGGTACATTTTTGTCGCATTTTTTTTTTTTTTGCTTCAAAACCACTGTGCCTATCTCTGAAGTCGGGTTTCCAGCGAAATGTTTCTTTACGAGTATACATTTTTTTGTAATTTTCCTCTATATTAGTGTAACTAATATTTTATCTTATTACTATGATATTGAAGAGATCCTTCAATTTATCAGTTTTAACCCTTAGATGCCCAAGTCGGTTCGCATTGACCTGAGACTTGCAACAATCACGTCCTCAGTGCCAGCGGGTTGTTTGAGGCCGCTGTACACGATCTTTAACTATTACAGGTCTACAAATACATCCTAGAAAAATAATCAGCAGTTGAATTGAAAGACAGAGAATGTAATTGAGTGTTAACACAGCTGAAGATAGGAGGAACGTATTTTGGCCTCAATTTCAAACTTTTCTCCCGATTCTTATAGCCGCACCTCATTGGTAGCATAGAGCAGAACATCGCGAGTACACGCTTGGCGCCATCGCGCCTTCAATTTTGCAGACGCAACACCAACAACCATCAAGCACGAATAGTCGTATCTCTGCGCCGTCATCAACGCGCGTCCTCTCCTATGCTCTATCTCATAGATTGTATCTTTTTTGCATCGAACGGCAGCCTAAATCAGAAGTAGTGCTTTCACGTTGTGAAATGTATATTAATTTCAATGCAGGAATTACTTCCACTAACCTGACTGGTTGACAGAGCAAAGTGGTTCGCAATTTTATAACCATCATCCAAAAACAGATCCGTGGGTTCTTTCATGAGTTTCGCTTGCTCTCGCAGTCCAAGTAAGTGCACGTCGATTCCGTCGCCGAGGATATTTTCAATCATGACTTCAGTTTGTTTTTTCACCGCTCGATCGAAGTATTCCAATTTTTGTTTGTCCTACAACCAAAGAAAAATCGTTTTTGTTTAGATCAAACTGCATCGCGAGTAGTAAAATGTAACCTCATTCAATTAAAATTTTAAATTGGCACTCAAACAGCCATTCTTTGCTTAAAACTGGATTGAAAATGATAGATATTATGATTCAAAAAATAAAAACCATTGAGGTATGAAAGCACAAGCGGCTGTAGAATCGAGGAATATAATAAATTAGTGTTGAATTTAAATTTATTTTTCAAAAATTGAGTTTTCGATTATATAAAGATTATATACAAAGTAACTATAAACATGGAAATTTATAACTGTAAAGGAGTTGTTTCAGAAAAGTGCAAAAGTACGGCCCTTAATCGTAAACAGAGACAATGAGGCCCCTCATTGGTATATCGGCAATGGTGGAAGCTTAAACTTTCTGGACTCCAACACTCAACCGCTAACCTTCCTACCGGGTGGATGGTTAAAATCGTGTTGAGAATTTCGTTTTGCAAACAAACCGAGCTTTTGGAACCTTGTTCTCCTCATTACGTCACTCGAGGTTCATCAATCACCTAGTAGAAGGTCAACAGCCGAAAAAAGGGGGATGACTGGTCTTCACTTCCCCGGTGGAAGTCGACCTCGTGCGGCAGAAGGTGGACGTCCCGTCACATCCAGTCACTTTCAGGCACCTCCGGTCACCTTCAGTCACCTCCAGTCATCTCGTGTAAGCCCGTGCATAGGGGAGCGAATCAAAAGCACAGTTTCGGGAATTCCATCCTTCCCAGGCGGCCACTCAAGGTGATTGGAGGTGACGGAGGTGACGATAGGTGACGGGAGGTGACGGGAGGTGACTGGAGGTAACGGGATGTCCAATGTCTAATGGAGATGTTGCATGTGTGAGGAATTTACGATTTGACCGTCTGATTCTTACGTGAAAGTTCGCGAGGAACACGATGTGGCCACTGGTTTTCTCTGAAATTAACTCTCAAGCTCAAAAAAAGCTCTGAAGTTGAGGCCAAAATGGAGGGGGGATATTCCACGCTATCCTGAGAGTCCACCTCTACATCAAAACAAACTCTTCATGCAAAGATAGGGAGCCAAATACATTGACAGGGCTGCCACTTTATTTGGGGACTCCAAAACTGAAAACACGGCATCACTGCTAATGTATTTGCTCCCTATCTTTGCATGGAGAGTTTGTCTTGATGTAGAGATGAACTCTCAGGATAGCGTGGGATATCTCCTCCATTTTGGCTTCAACTTGAGAGCTTTTTTTTCAGCTTGGGAGTTGATTTCAGAGAAAACCAGTGGCACCATCGTGTCTCTCGCGAACTTTTACATAAGAACTATTTGTCAAATCGCTAATTCCTCACACATGCAACATCTCCATTGTCTCTGATCTTAAAGGAGTGAGGACTTACATCGCAGAGCTTGAAAGAGACCCTCTTGGTTGGCTGAAGGGGGTCACTGATGTTGGGTTCGACCTCATCGATGGCCTCACCGAGGTTCATGGCGGACGCCCACTCCAAGGCCTCGCTCGTGGCCGAACGGATGCAATCCACGCGACCCAAAGCGAAGCGCCGGGTCGAGGCACTCTCGTAAGTCGCCACTAGTCGCCCGTGCAACCTGCCATTCAAATCAAACACGCTTTCAGCATTATCATAATTCGCCGAGGAAATGAAGGCATGTAGAGGTTACGTGTTTATAACTATTTTCAGAGCGTACACGGGGAAAAAACATTGGATCTAGAGTCCAGACTCTTGAAAACATTGACAAGAAAAAGGACTCTTGATTCAATTGGATTTAAGCTTAAATCAAGAACCAAGCCTCTTAATTTGAGCGGATTTCCTTTTGATTTAAGCTTAAATCTGATTGAATCAAGAGTCCTTTTTCTTGTCAAAGTTTTCAAGAGTCTGGACTCTAGATCCAATGTGTTTGCTCCTTGATGTAGGTCGGTACAACATGGCGTCAATATTCCAGAAAAATCCGGAATTCGAAGTATGAAAAACGGACCATAACGTTCAACTTTCTTGCTTAAATTAACTCATCATCTAATTTTAAACGCTTTATATAGAGTAATGAATTTTTTCCATAAACTACAACAATTCCAAGAAAATCAATAATAAAAATCGTCCGTACCGACCTACGTCATCCAAAAAATCCCAGAACTAGGGTGCCGTCCGTGCGTACTTAACGTCAATTTTAGAAAACTTTCGTATTTTCTTTTCTGGGCGAAAAAACGTCTAAATTTCAAGAAATTATACTGATTTGTTTGCCCTCAAAAAAATAAATGGGAGCGGAGATTTTTAACACCGCAAACGAGATGCCTGGTCTGGTAGTCTCACCGTCAAATTTTATCACGCATCAGCATAGTACGAGGGGCGTTCAATAAGTAAGTATCCCCCCTCTCTAAAATCCATAAGAATGGACCAATTTTCAAAAAACTTGAGCTCGAAAGCTTCCTTAGGATATTTTGAGTTCAACGAAACAAACCGCAACAAAATCGGACCATGTGCGGCCGAACGCGAGCCGTTTGGACGCGCCGAGGTGCTCGACGCTCCCGCCAAATCCGCGAGGATTTGAAGTCCGCTACAGGAGAAGAGCTTCTCTGCCAAAGCC